ACCAAAGTGTACCAGAGCGTACCTCTCTCTTAATTTTCCATAAAAAACAAAGATCATAAAAAACATTGCATTACCATTTGATTTTTTTGGTAAACTCCTGTATTGCTAAAAAAACTGGATAAAATTGATTAATCAATTTCAACCTATTTCAATTTAGGTAAGTATACAAAACGTTTAAAAGAACTTAATCTGAATTAATGAACATTACGTATTTTTCATTAAAAAAATAATTAATAATCTGTTGAATGCATTTATTCCACTATAAAAAATTAGTCACAGGTTATTTCGACCGAACTTCCCTCGCTCCAGACGTATGTACAGTACAACAAATCCAGCTTTTTCGAAAAATTATAAGATTTGACTTTACGAATTTTATTTTTTTAAGATATCCCTTATAAGTTAAAATAAAGATACATGTATATTATATGTAGTATTAAAGCAAAGGTAAAGAGGCGCGTTTGTTTCAAGTGAGTTTTCCCAATACAAAATTTTGTGATAACGTCATCAACATTTTTGCAAGGACACAAATTTAAATTTGGATAGGTGCAGTGTAATAGTTATAATAACATTATTGTATTCCCAAATTTTCGGGAAAATGGAGTGGGCCGTTCCTGAGTTAATCACTGAATCAAATTGAATCATTCATTACTTTTCTTCAGTCACCCTGTATAAACAGTTCTAGAACATTTGAATGCAATTATAAATCATTACCATATTTTGCACAATTTTGTTAGATTTTATTCGGCAAAATTTTAAGATGACGTCTTGACGGTGATAAATATATATTAGGTTATTTTATATATATCAAAACTCATTTACTGTGTACAATCTTGAGTTGACGTCATCACATGGTTGGCGGGAATGATTAGACAAACTTTGGTTAGCGTTTTACTTTCTACTTTCATAATAGACATATAAAATTTGATAAGAAACGGTCTGGTAATTTCGGAGATTATCTGTCTAACAAAAGTTCACACAGCCGGTGGCAGACAGACAGACAGACAGACAGACAGACAGATAGACAGATAAATACCTAGACAGACAAACGGAAACGGGCGACGTATGTTTTTGTATTCTTAGGGTCATGACATATCCAGAAAATGTGAAAGTAACCAGTCGCGTTTGGCCTCGATTACAACACTTCCTTAGCTTACGCTCAGGAAAAGAATCACATCTGATATTTTAAGTGCTCATGCATATTTGTTAGGTTCTTTTATTTATTTACTTCTAACTTTTTGTGCCCTTTTAGGTTAATTAATTTAGTAGTGTAGCAAACATATTTTGAAAAAAAAAAAAGAATTTGGACTAAAGAGGCAATGTCGCACCGCAATTTCAAAAATAAACTATGACATAAAGCCTACGAAAAGGCTAATGGAAATATATAAAAATATGTACCTATATATGTAGCATGTTCTATTTAAAAAAAATTCGTTTTGTACTATCTTCAAGAACAAAATACTCTGCATAGTTGAATATAATTTTAATATGTGCTACTCAAAGAACCGTCTTTAATTTCTGACAATTTTCTGTCTCTAATAATTAATGAGATATCGAGAACCGCGAGCTTAATCACTCATCATCAAATGTTGTTCAGATATACCCATACAGCTAACCATACGCAAAAATGTAGATATTCAATAATGAATACGTTTAGAATAGTCCTTGTCTGGAAAGAAATAAGTATTTTCATTTTTCACTGTTAATAAAAATGAAGCTGAAATATTAATTAATATGACAAGTGAATAACAACAAGACATATATGTAGGGGTAACAAGAATACTTGGCCAATTCCAAACGCAAATTTTTTTAATAGGATCTTATTAACGATCTTGAGTGATTTAAACTAATTAAACAAAAATTAAAAATGCGTCTATAAAGTGAATATTAATAAATAGTCCTATAGGTATGTGAACTAGTTGCTGGTTATTACCATAATTTTTAATTAGATTAGAAGTACATAATTAATGATCATGCTTTGAACAATCTTAAACTGTTAGGTAAGTAAGTATATAAATACATACTTATAAATAAAAAATGTTATGAATATTTCCATGTTCGTAAGAGCGGTAGTTTGTCATCATTCTTTTATTTCGTCGAAGACGCAATTTCCAAACTTTTGGAAATCATTGTTCCCTGCAAATTCCTTCCATTTTCATTACTCCTCCAGCTCGGCGCGAACTGAACCGGATAGATCGCAGGAATAATTCCGAGGTATAAGAAGAAAACTCATATAAAATCCTACGAAAGTAAATAGAAAATAAAACAAAAACATGCCAGCCCGATAGGTCCCCGGAGTTTCCGGAGCAAATAACCGGGCTCGGGGGTGGGAGACTGATATATCTCTGGATCTCATTTATAGTATAAGAGACGGTTGGAGGTATATGTACCTGCTGCATCATATCAATACGTACGGCTCCCGGCTACAGAACACATTCGCCCGAGACATCTAATATACAGGACAAGCCCGAATGTAATGTAATATATACGTAATGCACCCGGCGACCGGTATGGCTCTCATATACAACGTAAATGTCCAAAAGTCTTTTAGTCTGACCCGGCGCGGATCACGTACTCTGAACGAATTGGCGGCGAGGACATATCTATGTGACGTGGCCAATGTGCAACCTAAAATTTATATGATCTTGTTTTTTTTTTCTTATTCGTACGATAATAAAAATATTGTTACGACGAAGTCTCTTAACTTTCATGCTTTTTATGTTGGACGTACTGTATAATGTACGAGTTCGATCGCTTCAGACATAATTAAATTAAGCGGACAAGATGGATTAGACAAATAAGACCGCATTTTCGAGAAGTTGGCTTCGTAAAATTTACGGGATGGGAATTTTCGAGATGTGCAGACATAGTGCACTTGTTGGGGTGATGGGAGAGGGTTGAGTGCTTGCCGGTAATTGGAAGATCGATCGGGAGATTCTGGGAGAAATTTTTCCTCGATATGCAACTCATGTTGTATTTTCCTTGCCGTTGGTTAACATAATCTGATAACGCTATCTAATACGAAAATATATAATGTTTTATCACGATGACGTGACGTTTTATGAATTTAATTTTCGTCTAACAATAGCACGGAAAGTCTATAAGTTTGACAAGATGCATACTCTTTTATTTTACTGTTTATGAAATAAGTTCTGGAATTTGTGATCATTATTTTAATTAATGAAATTCAATTCAAATAACTAGAAAAGAGAAACATTCTTGTGAACTTATTAGAAAGTCCTAATAGTGATGGCTAGTGTTTTCTACAAAAAACGAAAACAACGCAAGCATTTGAGTTCAAACCAAAACTGTAAAATTAAAGAAAGCGAAAGTAGCAGAGGAACAAGAAAATTAAATAATGAAAATGATTATTGTTAATATTTACAATTTTTCAATACATTTAAAGTGAAAAAAGAAACAGGGATACTTATGATATTGCAAATACCCTTAAAAATGATCAGAAATATGTAAATAATTTGAGGCAATAAAATAAATCTATTGATTAATTAATAAATAATTAATACAGGTAGCTCCATTATTTCCAAAATTTACATACACTTACAATTTTTTGTACACAAAACGCTATGAATTTAAAAAGTAAAATTCTAATATTTGAGTGGATAGATTCATCTAAAGATCATACACGTCAGTTTATCAAATTAAATTAAGTGTCTTGAATCTACGTCTTTACTTATAAACTCGAAATTAAAAAATTAGAATATAAATGCATATATATTCCCACTCGGTATGTGCTTTTGAGACTGTTTAATTTACGAAATGATTCAGTATTTTCTAATATGCACATCATATTACGTTTTATGTATGCACAAATACAAAATTCAACGTTATTAGGTATATGAATATAACTTAAAAAAATAAAGAAAATAATTTAGAAAAAAACAAGTTTTTTCAAAAACCCTGTATTTCAAAAGACAGAAGGTATTGTGAATTAATTACTGTCTTGAGACATTTTTTTTAAATAGCTTCTATTAATAATATAACGCTTATATAAGAAAGGTAAAATTTATCAGTTTTGAAAAATACAATTATCAAAAGCTTAAAAGTTTTAGACGACCCATTGTCTTATTTTAAAACCTGTAACTTTAAAAGAATTCGTCAAAAATTTTACCTAGGTACGCTACAAACCCTAAAAAATGGTTATTATCTTGTCAGTTATAATTATTTGCTTAATAATGTTTTATCATCACCTTCTTAAGTTGTATATGGAAAATTAAAAAATATATTAATTATTATTAAATTAATATAGTGTTTTTTTTGTGCAAAAATCTATCAAATTTAACTTGAACGTACCTACTAAATAAACTACCGAAAATGAATTATCCAAACAAATGTTAATTCCAGGCTCTGAAGTGACTTAAATCTTATTATTAATTAATGTAGAACTGTAGTTTAACACACAAAATGCGAAGAAACTGTACACCTGCGTAATTCATCCGATTTAATTTAACTTAATTGGGCTTCTTATATCAGATTTCTCACACTTTTTACATAATTTCGATTTATAACAAGACCTTTAAACTCAAAACCACTCATGTCGAAACTCCATTTACCTACATTCAACCTGGGAGGTCCCCGACTCCGACCTTGTTTTTTTCCACTAAATCCTCTCTTTAATCTCACCTCCTCTAAACTACCTTCATATACACATACGCATAAGTAAACACTCCCCCACCCTTTTCCTTTATAAACGCACAATTACGTTAAATACTCCGTTCCCGCAAAGTATTTACAAGATTATGCGCTCCAAGAGCGGCAGGTTCTAAGTTGTAAATGTGTCACTTGCGGTAGGTATAACCAATAAAGCTGATCCATTTATCTGTGCACATACCGTATATTCAGATTACGGTTCCAAGGCAACTTTGCTTAATAATACCACTGGAAGGTATATTTTACTCAGTTCATACTTGAAAATAACAAGGTGTAATCTTGACGTGGGTTATTTATGTAGAATTAAGTTTTAATAATTGCGAGTGTGTACTTACCATCACGGAGGATAAAAATGGTAATGACGGAGACGCGTCATGGGCGGAATCTCCATCTGAAAAAAAGAAACAGCTTGTAATTAAGTGGCAGGGAAAGCGGGTTTTTCTTGCTGGAGATAATAAATAAGAGAAGAGGCTTTTTAAAAGTGCTGTGTAAATAAGCGGTTATATCTGTACATTAACAATAAAACATAATTTATATTTTAAACATAGGTCGCGCTTTGCTGGAACGAAATGAAGTGGTTGTTTTTTAGAGTCTCTTTTACCGTGAGGGACAATTATTTACTTACGAACAATATTTTTTCTAACCACGAAATCAGTGTTAATACTAATATTTCCAAAAATGCTTGTTACGCAATTTTTGTTCTGCCAATCTTATTAATTTTAAAACTACCCGCCTGCATAAAGTCAAAAAAAGGAATCGATTATTAAATTTCTAGGAAAAAAATGTTTTGTTCCCTAGATTTCAATTAAAATAAAATAAAATTAAATACAATTTTGGGTTGACATTAATTAATTTAAAGAGGTAAATACGAGAGAATTTTTTGGTTAGTCTTATAGTAGGTAACGCTAAAATATAGATTTAAAATATTTGAGTAATCCGACAGCCACAGTAGTTTCCAAATTAGGTGCCGACACTCATAGGAGGACGAGATTGCAATAATCAAATATAGGAAATAAAAGAAATTATAAATTATAAAAGAAAAAGCCATCATATAACAAAGATGTAATATAAACCAAACAGTGAGAGAAGCGTAGGTATATCAAAAAGAATACAAAAATTAAGAAATGGTAAATTTCATGTTTTTTTTTTACTACGTGCATGTATAATTACCGTAGTAGGGATTCTTTACAACATTCCTTAGAATCACAATTCCGTAGACATCTTTATATGCAGTCTTATTGCTTTCCATATCGTACGTTCGTTCTTCCATTGGTTAACATTTACTGCATATTGCAAAATCAACAAAGAAAACCATAGCTATTATCAACCGACATTATTGTTAATAAACCTGTAGTCAACCAAAGTATGTTTCCGTTTTGTAAATAATAACTATTACTATGACTCACACACAGTGTAAGTAGGTCGAAAGGAAAGTATAAAATATTCAAATATTCAGTATCATGTGCAGTGATTGACCCAAACAACGGGAGAGAAGAAATGTTTCTTTCATAGATGTGATACCTACTTTACACTCAGAATGTTATTTAGTTGACATTCACTAAAATCTTAAGGTCTTTTTGTAATGAAATGTGAGTTTTAAATCTCTGACGACAACTTTAAAAGTATGTTCCTGGCATGGATTCTACCTGCTGCTGATACATCTCATTTAGAATCTGCTTAAAAAATATCATTGTTGTATTTAACTTCACAATTCACAATCAAGTTTTAGTGGGTACGAAAATAACGTTCCAACAGTATTACTATCACGTTTTGTTTTAAATTTATTGTAAAACAGTACTTTACTGTCATTTAAATTCTCCATCAAAACAAAAGTTAAACATGTTTTGCTCTAATTCCAAAGTAATAAGTTGTTGTTTTGTTACTGGCCGATTACTATTATACCTAAGTGTTTAGGAGCTAAAAATTAGTTAAAATATGTCATTATTGGATGTCAATTTTGGTGTAAAAAAGTGTGCTAAATATGGCAAGTAGGCCAAAAACAGCTAGGTTGCTTTCAGTTCAATAAAAGAGTTTACAACTTAATTAAAAGAAAAACTTCAATAACTACATATGCAACTAAGCGTAAGTTTCATAATAAACCCTAAGTTCCTTTCTTCCACAATTAAACTGGCTTTAAACCATTGTTATAACAATTTGTTGCTATGAGAAACACTCACCTTAAATTTTAAAAGTACTTTAATTGTATTATTGATCTGTCCCTAATTCAAATTTTTAATTAAAATTGCCAAAATGTTTCAGTTTACTTCGCTTATCAAACGCTACTACTGTGGTGACATAGGTATAAGGGACTTTTACGGTGAGCGATAAAATGATTTTCTAATTTTTAAACTAAAATTTCCAAAATTAATAATGCATAATAAGTATAGTCTGAGAAATAAACCCTATCTACTTTAATGATTAATGATCAATTATTTTAGGCTTAACATTTTTGTAAGTATATTTCTAGTAGGTATATTTACTTGGTCGTATCCAAAGTGCGATGCAAATTTTGTCCAAATATCAGGTAGTTAGGTACATGAATACTTCCGACCGAACTGCGGCTCGTTCTCGAACTGTAGGGGTTCAGGTGCTTTTGGCATTTTTCTAAAAGCAACTGGATGAATTCGAAGAAGAATAGAAACATCATTTAGTGCTATAAATTTAAATATTGAAGAAAACCAAATCCATTTTAGACCCAAACAAAAAACGATGTGGTTTACATCTTTAATGAACGATTTCAAAAATTGTCTTTCAAAACTACATGAATAACAATAACATCTACATCTACATATACATATTGATTTACTGACCATACATTTGAAAATAGGTAAAGTATCTTAATTATAAATTTTTATTAACTTTTTGATTGAGAATTTAGGTATTAAATAATTGTTCCCATCAGCAGCTTAATCCCTAATTAAGAATTTTTACCGCAGTTCGGTAGTTACAAAATTTTGCACCACAGTTCGGTCCCGAATTAGAAATGTACCTACCGCAATTAAGGCAGGTCGATTTACTTACTTAATCCCATTCTACTTTACGGTGTAGAGGTATATTTCTAATATTTAGAAAAATTTTAACGATATCTAATTTAAATAACTATTCAACTAATAGTTTTGTGACAAACACTTTGTAGACTATACGGTAGTTAACAACTTAAGTTAGACAATTGTCTCTAATATTTATTATTTATAATGTTTATATGTTTATGTAAGTATTATATATTTAATGTACATTTTTTAATTCCTGCGGTAATTTTTTATAGGTAAGATTTAATTGACATTTCAAAGGAACTTTCTTTTACCTTTGTTAATTTAGAAAACTGTAGGTATATAATTGTAGCACAACATAGTGTAAAAAATTGTGGATATACAAAAATTTGAAAATAGACTGTACCTTAGGACTGGAATAAAAATCAATGTAAGAAATGTGTATTAAAATGTAGAAGGAATTTACCCTTTTCGGCAATCCCCATAGGAAAACAAAAGAAAACAAAACAGAGGAACAAAGACAGAAGTAAAAACGTAAAAATTTCAAACAATATTTAATTTAGTTTTTATCAATTATGATAACTGTACTACACATCTGATTTTGAAAAAATATACACAAATAATAGAGTTTTTTTTATAATTTTGTGGATGAACTTTTTGATGTCATTTGGAATGTGTGTGTGCCATGTAGTAATAATAAACAAATGTAATAAATTAAAGTAATATTAAATTTCATTTGACACAGTGAGATAAACTAAAAATTATGTCCTCTTTTCAACCGTTGTTTAAACTATACATGTAACAGCTTATAAAGTACGTACCTATATTACTTCGGTTATTGCATCTTAATACCGCTGCTAGTGAAAAATATTGTCTATCAATGAAAGTGCTGAAGAATACACCAATAATAATAAAATGTAAAAATTATCGACTTTTTGTTTTACATTAATTGCTTAGTTAGCTTATTTTATTCTATATCTTCTCTTTGTACTCAGAAAATTTGTTACATGGGAATACGACTTCAGAGTTGAAAGAAATTGTTTTTTCACAAGATTTTAGTAAAATAGCAAAAACAATTTTTTTTTTTAATATTATGACCGGTGTAAGTGAAGTGAAACTGTTAAGTGGTTGTTTATTAAATATGCTTTAACATATCTGTACAATTCTCTGTACACACTGAAATTCTAAGAGCACACTAACATCATGGTTAGTATCATGCTGTAAGTAGGTATATAATAATAAAATAACATACTTATTTTCTCTGATTAAAAATGAGGGTAGGTTCTCAAAAGAGTTAAATCAACTTTTTTTATTGTTCCAAAGAAGAAGAAAGCCCCTTAGCCCCCTACTATAAATTACCTAGAATGTCTTAAAAGAAAATGTGCTTACGATTATAAATATTTTTCCTAGTAGGATTTTAGAATTGTGAATTCTGAAAATGCTGTCACGATCTAAGGATTTTGAGATTACTTATACCAACAACTTTCTAGCAATCAGTGTCATAAACGATATGTGGGCCTATTCAAAAAACTTGTGTTAAGTAATATTTAAAAGAAAAGGACGCAAGTGCCCCATTAGTTTATACTATGCATCTTTCAGCAATAAAGCAAGGAAACTAAAAATGTGGTGATCTGTATTGAAAAAAAAAAAGAAAAGTTCTAGAAGTTCCATTAATCTTTCTTAAACCTTTCTTCCTGTATCTCGTTCTCTTGATCTCGACAACAAAGAGTTAATTACGAAACTTCAGCCTTTACACGAACTCCGCCAACTCCTCGCTTCATAATAGCTCTCCTCCCTGATTCGAGTGCGACTGCACCGTGCCCTCCGATTCGTCTGGGTTAATTTTACCAAGTGCAGCGCGCAAATAAACCGGCAAAATAATTAGTCGATATCCGAGGACACCGATAACATCCAGAATTTATCTCTAAGCATCGAACAGGTACTCGAATGTAAACTAATTGCCGCCGTAACTCCTCGGCTTATAAGTATAAATACAAGATTATGATGTTCATAAGACGCGATGTTTATTTGCATTCAAGGCGTCCGAGTCTTAGCCTAAATACTCATTTATTTGCAGGAATTTGGAGCTTGTTCGTATGTTACAGAAGCAATGGGGCGGTTCGGAGTAATGACTGCGACATGGCAAAAGGAGCAGGACAGCGCGCCCACGTGACATGCGCAGCAGGAATGCAGCAGGATCCATATACAAAGAAATTTGTTTACAGCTGCGCCATTTTGGCCCATTTCGTTAATTGTTGGCTGGTAACGAGCGAGGTAAATGCAACTTGTTTGTCTACGTGTAGATCGGTGTCCACTTAAATGTAGACTTTAGTGGCTTGGCATGCAGGGGACTTTAATTAAGAGAGAGCATGTAATTATGGAATGGCGATGCAGATGAATC